TGTCCGTCACGGCGTCCACCGTGGCAACCGAGGAATTCGTGGAGCCCTCAGTCTGGCTTCCCTGAGGCATGTACTTGCTCGCTGCACCCGCCCCAGCCGAAGTGAGACACCAAATAGTGAGCGGCCTACACCCCGCTCTGCGAAGGCGATTTGCGGGGCTGCGTACACGAGAAAGTGGGCAGAGAGAAGCGCAGATCGTTTCCTTCCAAGGGCAGGTCGCAAGCGTAGCTGATCTTGATGGTGGCCACCGAGCCCGCCGGCAAGTTACCTGTTATCGCGCGGCATGCGGTAGTTCCAGTCAGCTGCGCGTTGCAACTGGTAACGCCAAGTGGTGCGCGCGTACCGACGTTGATCTGAAAGATGTCGCCCGTGAGCTCTTGGAGCAGATACGCTCCGTGGCCCGAGCTGATGGCGTCCTCGTACTCCTCCTTGGCCTGCTGCTTCTCCTTGACGACGGCTTGGATCGACCGGCCGTCGATGTCGGCCGAGAAGGCAAAGACAGCGGAGCCCTCCTCCACGGGGTAGACATAGGTGGTCTCGAGCGGGTTGGTCGTCGTGTTGATGAAGCTCTGGGTCACTGTGACCTCGGCCCGGGTCTCCACAATCGCGACGTCGACCTGGCTCGCTGTCAAGGAGAGACACGTACGCTCGTGGTAGAGACCAGCGCCCTGCGCCACGTCAGCACCATTAGTCAGGTGCCAACAATGGAGTAAGGCATTGAAGGGAGAGGAAGGAGGGTACGGCTATGTTCCAGAATGGCGCGGGAGCCATCTCCCACCAGGAGGTGACGACGGGTCCACAGAGGATCGCCGCCTGGGTGGCGGCTCCGTGCGCCTCTACCTCTTCGGGCTTGATGCTGCCGTTTTGTTGTGTGCGGTGTGTGCCGTGCACATGGTGAGTTTGGGGGTTTGGAGATCAGACAGAGGGCCGAGCGCACCTGTTATGCACGGTCGCCTGAGGCAAATGGGCCTTGAACATGGCCGGAATCTTGGGCATGTTACAGCATCCACCGCTGAGTACGACGTGCTCGATTTGGTCCGGCTAATCCTAGCATCTCGCAATACAGCATCGGCCTCCGCTAGTGCTTGCTCTGCATTGGTGTAGTTTTAAAGGAAAGAATCGTGTTCGATTTAGCGTTCGCAGACTCTCTTTCCAACGAAGTCGAGTGACACCACTTACCAAAGAGCGCGCTGTTGATGAGCTCGAAGCGTGCTCGTGACATCCTGCGGTAGAGAAGGGGGTTCTCTTTGTTAGCACACAACGACCCATCCAAATCGCGCGGCGGGGCAGCTGGAGCCCACGTACGTGCACTGAAGATCGAGTTCACTCTCTCTATGGATCCAGTCCACTTCGATGGGCACTTGGACTTGTTGTGACAGGTCTTCCATGGCCCGTCGGCACACACGCCGTATGCGAGTCTGTGTTGAGGAACCAAAGAAGAGATTTGAGGCTGGGGTCGCTGAATACGCGACGCGACGCGGCACGCACCATGGACCTGGCGATCTGCCGCAGATCGATCCCATGAAGCTGTTGGAACTGGGAGGCGCAATGCTCCGCCATGTTTTCCACGAATTGGGCGCCGCCCAAATCAATCACTCTCGTTGCGCGGACTGCGTGTCGTGTGTATCGTGTGAGCGTGTGTGCGTGCGTGCGTGTGCAAAGGCATCAGCCTGAAGAGCATGAGGTGAAGGGCTAAAACGGGGTGTAAGTAACCTTCAAATACGCCGTCATCGATACTCAACGCTGTGGCAGTGAGTGTTGTGGCGCCCATGTTGAAGACCAAAGCGTGCAGCTCTCGACGGCTACATACGCAAGCGTCACTTGGGTCAGCACTTGACAAGGGCACATGGGAAATGGAATGGGGGCAGGGGCATGGCGGTACTTGGACAACTTATCGATGCCATACGCGATGGCCGCGGCCGTCGGTTCATTGATGATCCGCAGCACCTGGAGGCCGGCCAGGGTACCGGCGTCTGGCAAAAAACAGGCGTCACACCACCT